TCGCAGCCGCCGCCTGGGCGCGCCCGCCGCCCGGCCCCGCGCTCTGGGAGAGGCGGCCCGGGCCCGCGCCCCAGCTCCCGCCGCCGCCGCCGCTAGGCTCGAGCGGCCGCCGCCTCGTCACCATGAACCCCGGAGCCGCGCCCGGGAGAGCCGCGCACGGGGAGGCGGAGCGGGAGGCCCGGCGCCGCTGGAAGCGGGAGCGGGCGGGCTGGCGAGGGGGAAGGAGCGAGCGACGAGCGAGGGCGGGAGGGCGGGAGAGAGGGAGGGAAGGAGGGAGGAAGGGAGGGAAAGAAGGAGGGCTGGCGGGTGGGTGTGTCCCGGCCCGGGGACAGGCCTCCGCAGCCGCCGGCGCTGCCCGCTCGCCCGGGGGGAGAGGGGTGCGGGGCCGAGACGGAGGTGATGAGTGGAGGGCGGTGGGGGGGGCGTCCGCCTGTCTCGGGAGGGGTCTTGAGCAGTTGATTGGGGTGAAGGCTTGGAGTGTAGGGCCGTCAGAGGGGTTCTGGGGGTAGATGTGAGGGGTGTCTGGGGTGTGAGGGATGTGGGGAGGAGTTTGGGGCAGATGGGTGGGATGAGGCGCGTCGGGGTGCTAGGCAGGGACCCGCAGGTGTAGGGATAGGATTCGGAGGGGTGTGCAGTGTGGGGGCCCAGGGGCCAAGGAAGGATCGCATGGAGGCAGGAGTGAGGAGAGGGCCTGAGGAGGAATGTTTCCGTGAGGAGGCGGAAGGGAGTAGACTTGTGGCGGGATGGGTGCTGTGAGGGTGCCTCGGGGGTGCAGAATGAGGGGTGTCCCGGCGCCGGAACCGAGGAGTCTGGTTTGTGGGTGCGGAGAGCCACGGTGTGTGGAGGCGGGGGCTGCTAAGGAGTGGTCCTTACACCGAGGCGGCCCGCGGTGGGGTCCGGGCGGGCGCTGGTGGGATGAAGAGCCGGGGAGTGTGGGGTAGGTTCCGAGGGACCCAGGGGGGCGCGGGGCAGCGGTGGGGTTCTGGTTTGAGGGGCTTAGGAGTGAGCAGGACTGAGGAATGGTCCGCGCAGAGAGGAACTGAGAAGTGGGCGAGAGGCTCAGGGCGTGCGGGTGCCTGCAGGACCCGCATCAGCATTCGGCCCCAAAGCATGCGGTCAGGCGGCGGATCTGGACCAACCACCTGGCACGTGAGGCTGTCGACGCCGAGGGGAGCCTGTGCAATGGGCATTTCCGGGTGCTCTGCAGCAAGGGGGCCGGGGATGCTTTGAGGGCAGAGGAGCGGAAGAGGCCAGTGGCGGGCAGAGCTGGGCTTTAGACTGTGCTTGTGCAGGGCAGCCGGCCACTGTCAGGACTGGGGCGACAGCCAGAGCGTGGGCGAGACGGGAAAGTGTCCCCTCAGCCTCAAAGAGTTGGAGCCCTTTGGCGCCCGCGCCCTCGGGTTCCAACTTACAGGCCACTTTCGCAGCTCTGTAAACCAGGGGGCGGAGCAGTGCCGCCGGGAGCCGGGTCCTGGGGCGGGACGGGAACACTCGCGCGCGCTCTCCACCAATCAGGTGGGTTTGGGAGGGCCTGCGGAGCGTGGCGTAGGTGGGCAGGGCTCAGTGGGCGGCCTGCGGCTAAGTGCGCTCTGCCTCCGCCCGCCGGGTTGCGCGCGCACTTCGGCCTTGCGGACAAGTCTGGCGCCCCCCCATCCTCGGTGGCTTTCTGGAGAGTAGGCCTGTAGGAGTTTTCTCACCTCTCTGCATCCTATGGAACTCGAGGCTGAATGCGGCCCGATCGCCTGCCTCCCCAAAGTTTTAAAGGACACTTCCAGAAGCGCTTTTGGCGCGGTCGGCCTGCGGTCCTTGCTGATCTCTGTACCTGGGGGAGCCACGAGCGGGAGAAAGCCCTGGGAGAGGGCTCCTGTGGCTGAGGCAGGTGGGACAGCCAGCTTCAGGGGACCCGTCGTAAAAAATAGTTGTTAGACAAGAGGTGGGCATTTTGCCCCAACATCGAGGACCCTGAGTGACTTTAGTCTTGGTGGTGCCACTTGCCCTTGGGATGTGCTCGCGATTGAGTAGCTGCTTTCCTAAGGGCACCTATGGGACCTTACTGAGTCGCCTTGGAGTGAAGGTTGAAGTGAAGTGCCATTTTGGTTAGGAAGGCAATCTCTACTGTAAGTAGCCCAGGCTCCCAGGGCATGCCTTCCCTAATCCTCCCAAGTATGGACCAGATTAGGGCCTCATGGCACCCAGGACCTCCCTTGTTCCAACTTCTAATGCTCTTCACATTTGTTATGAGGGCTGGGGCCTCGTGAACTCAATGTTCTCCAAATTCAATTGAAAACAACTACTGAATTCTAAGAGATCAAAGAAGGATCTTCCAGACATAGCTGTGCGGGGAGGGCCTGGGATGTGATTCTCCTACGGTTTTTGGTATATAGACGCAGAGGTTATCATCTCTGCTATCTGGTTGGTGAAGCATCCCAAATAGTCCAGCAGTGAGGACTGATGGGAGGTGATGGGAGCATTTGGACTCATTGATTCACGTGCTTGAGGGCTGGATCCCTTTTTTGGGGGATGGGGGATACTTCCAGAGGTTCTGTTCACTTAGCTAAGGCTCAAGAAAGCAGCCTATCATCTCTTATGTCCTTGTTCCTTCCATATGCTGTTTATTTAAATGTTCAATTTATTTATTTCATAGATATTAATAGAAATAAAATATTTGATTCATTTAAATGTTCAATTTATTTATTTCATAGATATTAATAGAAATAAAATATTTGATTCATTTAAATGTTCAATTTATTTATTTCATAAATTTTAATAGAAATATATCACCCATAGCCCTATCACCATCCTTTTATTTTATTTTATTTTATTTTTGAGACAGAGTCTTACTCTGTTGCCCAGGCTAGAGTGCCGTGGTGTCAGCCTAGCTCACAGCAACCTCAAACTCCTGGGCTCAAGCAATCCTTTTGCCTCAAGCCTCCCAAGTAGCTGGGACTACAGGCATGTGCCACCATGCCCGGCTAATTTTTACTATTTTTCGTAGAGACAGGGTCTCACTCTTGCTCATGCTGGTCATCACCTCCTGAGCTCAAGCGATCCTCCCAATCCTCCTACTTGGCCTCCCAGAGTGTTAAGATGACAGGCGTGAGCCACCACACCCAGCCTCTATCACCATTCTTAAATCAATCTCTAATTTCCTCAATTTTTCTCTGTCCTTGCCTATATGCTGACATAATTTTTATGGAGCTATAAGAAATAGTTAAAATTATAAGGTTTTTATTTTTCCATGTGATAACATAATCACTGTAACTGCCATTATAAATGATTGCATCATACCTTACTGAAAAAGTCTTAGATAACACAGCATCTTGGTTTTACAGATGAAGGAAAGATTCAAGAATTGTTGGGACAACTGATTAGCCATGAAAATATATCTTCACTTCAGTCCTTACAGCATATTCAAGATAGATCAAATAAATATTAAAAAACAAATATGGGTAAGTGCTCTTTGATCTTGGATGAGAAAGGCCTAAGAGTGACAGAAACTCCACAAATTACAAAGGATAAGATTGATAAATTTGGCTACGTTTGTTCATTCAACATTTAATGAGTGCCTTTTATGTGCAAGGTTCTGTTCTAGACACTGGGGATCTCAGAGCTGTCCAAAATGAGAATTAGTGAATGGAGCTATTCTCTCACACAAGTCAGTCATAGCTAAGGGCTGTCCTGAGGGTCCTTAAGCCTCAAGGTACTTTGTGGCTCTCTGAGAATGTGAGCAAAGCAGTCCCAGTGACCTGAGGACAGGTGCCAGCCATCGGAGGCCAAAGCACATCAGGCCCCAGAGAGGGATGTCCAGAAATAGTAAAATAGGGGTGCAAGGGAATCTGGACAGAGGACCAAAGTGTGGTGGAAATCATATTTTCAAAACTCCCATCATACAGTGTCTGTGTACCACCTGTACAAGGACAGGTTTAATATTTTTCTTTAAATTATTTTTTATTTAAATATAATTCTTTAAATAGAAAAGTAGTGGATAAGATTTTTTTTTTCTTTTTTTAGAAAAGACAAATGGGAAATAAAAGAAAGACTATGACCCTAGAAAGAAAGTGCTGCAAAGAGCAAGGGAGCAGAGATTGGGGTGCCAAGGCTAGGGGGACCTGAGGCTGGGAAGCACATCCCAAGGGGCCAAGGACAGGAGCAGATAAGAAGATGGAAGGAATTGTAAGGGCAGCCTAGGCTGGAGTCTCTGGTAGAGTTCCAGTGTGGGAGGGGACAATCGGACTCAAAGGTGGGGGCTGGAGACGACTGCTCTGGGAGTGCTGGGTGAGGGGTGAAGATAGGGAAAGGCTGCCCCTGAGGAAGGAACGCTGGGCCTTGAGATCAAAGAGATGGTGATTTGAGAAAAGGGGAACTGGGGAGGGGCAGTACAGAATGGGTGTTCCAGGTAGAAGGAGCAGCAGCATGTTCCCAGGCTTAGAAGCAAGGAAGAGCAGGCTCCGGGAAAAGTCTACAGTGGCTGGGGCTTAGAGCTCTGGTGCTGAGCAGGACTCAGATCACGCAAAGCCTTGGAAACCAGGAAAGGCATTTGGGCTCTATTTTGGGGGCTGTGGGAATGACATAATCAGATACGTGTTTAGAAAATTCCTGCTGACTAACAGATTGGGTCTGAGGCAGTGCAGGAGGCAGAGAAACCCACAGAAGATGTTGCATTAATACAGAATGGAGATGATGGTAGCTGTGGGGATGGAGAGAGCTAGTGAGATTCCAAATATATTTTGAAAGGAGGATGGACAAGTCTTGCCTATTGGTTGGGCTTGAGGAGTGAGAGGTGAGCAAAGAGGAAATGGCCTCCCAAGTTTCTTAGCTTAGAGGCCCAGGAAGAGTGCAGGGCCCTCTGAGATGCTGTCTGGATCTGTTATTCCCCATCATGCCCCTGTCCTGCTCTCCAT